TAATCAACATGTGCCTTAAATATAACTTACTGCAGAATATCTGTGTTATAATAATAATAATAATAATAAATGTTTCCTTTATAACGATGCACAATATTCAAATAATGCATGTCTCGTAAATAAATCTTCAGTTGGTTTAAATAATTAAGGTTTAATTTTCTGCAGTACCTTGAATTCTATCACAGCAAAAATTGGTATAGTAAGATTTTAGATAGTCCTGAATAAGAATCCGGTGCAGTTTTTGTCAAAAAAATCGCTAATATTACTTCTCGTTTTTTCTTCCTATAAAACGCGTCTTAGTTGGCCGTGACTTAGGCCACGAAAATACAGAAATTATACATTCTACTCCTTTTTCTGAGATTTATCAAACAAAAAAAAGTTGAAACAAATAGGTCAATAAATAACAATTTTACATGGGTGGCTAATGCTTAAGTGGGACACACTGTACATAATATATGCATATGTATTGTAAAATTTGTCCGGCGTAATTAGAACAATTATTATGTGCATGCGTTATGAAAACTAAGTTGTTACTACGTTATCAGTATTCACATTTCGTCACTTTAAAACTAATCGTTTTCAGGGGGATAGCAAAAGCAGGAGAGCCAAATAACCTTTCTCCTCTGTCACCCGGTGTATTATATATGGATGCGTCAGTGCACAGTACCCTTAGAAGGAAACAGAGGAGACTAGCCAGGGAAAATCCAGGGTTACTGGCGGCCATAGCAAAAGGTGCGAATAGTGCAATACACGAGTGCCAGTATCAGTTTAGGAACCAGAGGTGGAACTGCTCTACGCGAAATTTTTTAAGGGGGAAGAACCTTTTTGGAAAAATTGTCGACAGAGGTGAGTGCGAATACAATTTTTATATCACCTGTCACAAATGTACAGGGTGTCCCAGTAAAGAAGGCTAATCTGGTAAGTACAGACCCCTGGAATCAAAATGAAATGATTTAGTCAAAACCTATATTCAAAAATTCTTCCTTTATAACATGCAAACCGTTAATACTTAGTTAATAGTTTTCGTAATGATTCCAGATATTAAGTTTAAATTTGACACGGTTTTATTTATTCTATTACAGCTGTTACGAGTTTCTGGAGATTTGCGCACTCCAATAAAATCCTAGATACAGCGTGTTGAGGTTTTAAAAAAAAATTGATTTTTTGTTTATATCGCACACTACCTCACAGGTAGTGTAGAAAGAAGTCTAAATACTTTTGTTGATATGCACTTACTTTTAAACATAAACAAATATTCTTGTAATATTATCGTTAGAAGTGTCTGCCACAAGGGGATTGTATTGGTATGAATAACTTGAGAACGGCGAATCTTAGGGAAAAAATTAAAGTCACCTTTTTTACGTATTTTGTGCATTAAAATATAAATCAGTTACAATGACATGTAAAAAATGCAGTGGCGTAGGTTTTTTTGTAAAAAAGGGGGTGACCCCTGTCCAGTTGTACACCACTGGTTGAACCTTTAAAGCTCATATTTCAGGGAATATAAGGCCTACTATCATACATTATATGTACCAAATTTTATTGAGATCGGTTAATAGATTCCGGAGATATAAACAAAAAATCAATTTTTTTTGACAACTTCAACACCGTGTATCTCTAAAACGGTGGCGTTCCAGACCTATGTTTATAAGGCAAACACATATTATTTTAAAGAGATATATCTGCCCTCGAAGTTTCCTGCATAAAATTCGGACCACCCTGTATATTTACCTTATATATATTTTAATATTCTGAAAATAACACGGAAAATTTCAAGGCACGCACTTGCCGCGATAAACTGTTGCAGTAGTTCCGATAACAGAACTTTATTGGTTTATTCTTTTCTTGGAATTCTATCTCAACAAATATTGTACGGACTGTAACGTTACAACTAGTAGTTTCTAGCATTTTTGTTGATTTTATTACAAACCATTGTTCCTTCAATTGACTAATTTATTATGAAAAAACTGATTTAATAAGTTTTCGATTTTGCATTCCTCTATTGTAGAGATTTTTTTATCGGTGTCTTATGTTTCGAAATACATTTTCTTTTTGCTGAAGTTCGTTAACCGCCCTGAGGATTTTATCTCTATAATATTAATAATTTCTTGCAGCATAAATAATATTTTTCATAGAATCTCAGAAAACGTAATCCATTGGATTAAAATCTGGGTATCATGGTGGACAATGAACAGGAACATTTTAGCACCGTCCGATCTAGCGATTTAGAATTTGCCATTAACAAAAATATGTGAATTCAACTCTTCATTATGGTAGAAATGTGCATCAGTATTTAAATAAGTCAGTCATTCCCAAACCGCTTAGACTAGACAATGTGAAAACGCTCCTGTTCCATGGTCACCATGCTCTCCAGATTTTAATCCAATGAACTTTTTTTCTGATGTAGTATGAAGGAATTTCGTTTATGTCTAGGAAATAATTAATAATATTGAATCAAAGAATCTACTTTCAGCAGAAAGAAAATGTTCTTTTTTCCCTAATAAAAAAAAAGAAGGAGGAGTAGATTTCCATTATTACCTAATTTTGGGACCTTTATTGATAACGTACGAGTATTTTCATAATTTTAATTGCACTGTTGGGAATATCTAAAAATATTTTTTATAATTTGTTTAAAAAATCTCTATTTTTATTGAACATTTTTTATATTACATTATTTTAAATTCAGTGCACATCATGAAGCAGCCCATAGTGGTTATGTACTAATTGTCTCAAATTCGATGCCCCAGGGTTGCTATTGGCTAATAAAAAACGCGGATAAAAATTTCGCTTGGGGATTTGAAATAGGATCACTTTAGGCTTCCGTTTGAGACAAAAATATTACCTATTTCATTTCATGTTAGGGAAGACAGAGATAAACTTTCAAATAAACTTATTTTTGATATCTCCTTTTGTTTAAAAGTTACAAACATGGCAACCTCGAGTTTCATTTGTTTTCCCAAATGTACAAATCTCTATAAATTCGTCACAATTGCGATGGAATAAATAACAACTGTGTCAAAGTCAATTGAAAAGTTGAAATTAATTGTCTCCAAAATCATCAACGTTGCAAATTCTATTTTAATGCAAGGAAATATTTTTGTATACAATACATGCAAGTTTATCTAAATCATCTCATTTTGTTTCCAGAAGTTTGTGGTTACTAGATTGGCCTTCTTTTCTGGGATACCCTGCATTTTTTACATAAGTTACTTTTATGACTATATTATGTATACAGAGTGTATTCAAATAAAAGACCACAAACGCTACCAGGTAATTTCGAGGTCTAAAATTGCTCATGTTACTTATAGTTTCTTCATATGTTAGTTTAGTTTGTCAGCAAAAAGTTTAAGTTGAACTAATTGGTAGAATTCATGTTCCTCAATTTAAATTCATTAACGACGGTAATATTAAAAATTACATGATTTCAAAAAAAAAGTAAATTCAAATTAAATTTCTCACTACACATAAGTTTTGCAATAACTATTAATTTTGAAAAATGTTTCCAATTAAGGTACATTATTTTTTATCAATAGAACCACTTGCATAAAAGGGCACTGTGACCAAAAAAGCATACCGCTTACATAACGGCTAAACTGAGTTTGTACAGATGCAGTTGAAATACTGGGGGAGGACGTACTGAACCAGTTTAATTGCTCAAAAAACTTAATTTGCATAACAAAAAATAGGAAGGACTACACACCCCATTTCTCTAGCCATCGTACTTTGCGTTAGGGAAACTTCCCATTGAACGGACTCACTCTATAGATAGGTCTTGCCGCTAAAAATAAACGCAAGTACCTAGTGAGAGGTATTGAAATATATCTACAAACAAGAATGAAAAATGCGTAGTTAATAAGGCATTTACAACTGACACTCTATAGTTCGCGTGGGCCAGAGCTCTACAGGTGTCCTGCATTGTATTATTCAGGGTGGCAGGTAGATGTTAGCATACAAAATACATCTTCATTCTCATGATTTAGTAGTCTGCTAGATATTATATTGCTTAAGGTAGTTAAACCAATAAATAATAACGAATTTTTATTATCTCTACTGATCTTATATTGAATGTCGATTTTTTCCTGTGCCCTCTTTCACTTGATTAAACAATTCATCGTTATTGGGAATTTCATTTAGTTCTTGTAACAAAAATTATATTCTATCCAAATATTATTAAAAGTTTATTAGAAACAATCGATTTAACAATATTTTTAAATAATTTGCATTATTATTAAATATGTCACAATTTTGCTGGACAGTATTGTAATTAGAACAAATCCTATAAAGTGGGGTTTTCATTTGATATCTCATTGAAACTGGTTCAAGATAAAAGGTTCTGGAGATTCTAGTAAGATATGTTGGTGCATTCAAACATATTAATGAGAGAAAAGTAGGATTATCAACATTAACACTCAATATTTTGTGCAGAATGATGTGACCAGACTTCCTTCTACTCTTGAGGTACTTAAGATTATATCTTTCTCTTAACATATTCTTCTCAACTGTAATATCATATATTATACCAAATTTCTTATAGTATGTATAGAAAATTAATAATTTATTTTGCACTCACAGAACTGTGTCTATATAGCTAGTATAAAATGGACTATAATTGATTTCACAGTATTCCAATTGTGATCTAACGTAGAATATATACAGCTGTTCAATAGCACTTAAATTATAAAAATTATTTAGTATTACTTATTATAAATTCATATATTTTCATAGTTTTATTTATATGATTATTAAAATTAAGCTTTGTGTCAAATGTAATACCCAGATTCCTCACTGTTTCAAATCTGGATAACCGTATATCATATATTTTATATTCCTAATATGAACATAAGTGGGAAACCTTTTCTAGGGGGGCTATAGCCCCTTTAAAGTGAGCCACTGAAAGTTTTATTTTTTCAAGTATCTTTGAAGTTGTTGAAGGTAAAGCAATGAAATGTGAAAGTAGTTATTATATTTAGGTTTTTAATCAAATAATTTTTAATGAAGGGAGGGAGATTTGGCAAAATACTGCTCTCTTTTTATGAAAAAAAAAAAAAAATTGTAGTAAAAAGTGCTTTTAAATCATCTTGATGGGTTGCATCATTTGAGTAAAATTGATTTTAAAATGATATTCCGTGCTACAAAATGCTTTTTCTAAACACCAATTCTAATCGATGATAAGTGACGAAAAACAGGAGTAGGTACCTATTGATTATTTAGAAATTTCGTGAGAAATTTTAATGAACTCTAGAATCATAATATTGTTATGGGTTATGGTATTAATACCATTATACCCGTAACAAAAAAAAAAAAACTGAAAAATCTTGATTTTCTTAGAACCAAGAAAAACAGTTCTTATAAAAGCAAAGTTAAAGAAAGCCGTTGAAACAAAGATACAAAAGAAAACAGTGTTTGATTAATATTACTGAATAACAAATAAATACATTTTTTGTCCAACTTTTATCAATTTTTATATTATCTTAACAAATAAAACAAGCAATTTTCTAGTAGACATTTTTCACTATGAAGAAGGGAAATTGTACTTTATACAGGGTGATTCATTAATAATTGTAGATACGCTCTCTGGATAATATGGGCAGAAAATATGAAGAATTGACACAAAACGTTTAGATAAAATATGGCTCCTTACTGAGTTACATTTTTGAATAAAACCCCTGTAACTCCGTAAGGAGCTATATTTTATTTGAGCGTTATGTGTCAGTTCTTCATATTTTCAGCCTAGGATTATCCAGTTAGCATATGTACAATTATTAATGAATCACCCTGTATATATAAGAGGAAAATTAATTCCCTATTTTTGGTAGGAGTAATATTTATCTACAACCTCTCCAGTC